TGATGCTGTATCACAATAATAATAAAGGCATTGTTTTCAGTATTCACGCGGCTGTGTCTGTCATGTCAGATGTTCAGTGGTTGTCATTATTCCCTCTTGCAGTTTGTATCTGCTATGCCCCGGGCAACAGAAAATTTTCTGGGCAGAAACAGTCTTTACAAATATTTGTGCACGTTCCCAGATTTGATCTTTTATGTAGATCTTCGTTCTCTTTGTTCTAGACTTTGCCTTGTGATTCGAATACATTTTCTAATACATTTTTTAAATTAAAGAAGCTGCACTCTATGACTGCAAGTCTGCGAGCTAGTGTCATGAGAGGGACACAGCCTACTTTTTGTGTTGTTCTTACTGGTTCCTCTTCAGTAGAAGATCCTATTCAGCCACCTCTCTTGGCATGTCAAAGCTGATTACAACATGGGTTTTGTTTCCTCATGTTTTCTCCATTGTTCAATATCTGCAGCTACCTTTGTAAATAACCTTTGTCAGTAAACAGCATCTTATTACCAACTCGACCTAACATAATGGAATTTGACTTTCATTGATATTTTTAGTTGTTATTCGTGGTAAAGTTGTCATTTTTATACCTTGCTCACTGTCCTGCTTTATATAAAAATTCCCCTTTTATTTCACTTTTTTTGAATATTTTATTCCAGTTCTATCTCATTTGAAATACCCCGTTCTCTCTAAAACTTATTCTTCAAAGAGATTTTTAAAGATGGCAAACTGGCTAGAAGTTCATCAGGGGTTTGAATTCCCACAGTTCCCAAAGTTCTGCCTCCTGGGATGGATAGAGGAGGGTGTGGAAGCTTGCCTGTAGGTCTTCCCACGCTTGGAACTGGGTGGGCAGTTCTACCTCAGTTTGTTCTCAACCTGAAAACTTAACTTCTGCTCTTTCCTTTGCTCTGTGCCCTCTTACCAAATCTTTCTTTTTTCCCCTTCACTTTTAAGTGAAAAACCCTTCCTGGCTTCTTTTGGATCACTTTTGCTTTTTCATTGGTAATGAATTGATAGGTGCTAACTTATACTTATTGAAAATCGATCTTTAAATTATGACCAGAGAATGAATGAATGGGCACATTCATCTTGAGCCAGTGTACAGACATTTTCCTTAGATTTTTACAATAATCTTGCACTATAGGTAATATTTTCCCTATAACAATAGTGAGGAAACTGAGGAAGTGAGAAGCTTTTCAGTGGTTCTCAATTTGGATTTTGTATTAGAATCACCTGGGTGTTTGTAAAACTAGAGATACCTAAGCTCCACACTCAGAGATGCTCGTTTATTTGGTGTAGAATAGAGTGTAAGCACTGATAGGTTTTTTGTTTTTTTTTTT